TGAAATGATTTTAAAAAGAGCTAAAGAAATAATTTAAAATTAAAACTTTTGAGGCCCCTAATTTTATGTCCTCTTTATACAGTATTTCTCTATGAAGAATTCTGTATTTCTCTGTTTGTTAACAACAATTAAATATAGGCAGTAAAAAATACAGGTGTTCGTTATACCAGTGTTTTCTCAAAATGTGGTGAAAAGCTAGGTTTTTGTTTTTCAATTCATTGCAGACTGATACATTTGTAAAATAAATTTTAAAAAAAGAACTTTTTCTCACTATGGTCAGAGGAAAATGTTAACTACTGAAGAATGGTCAAAGAGGTGCAGTACTGCTAGCTTTGAAGATAAAAGAAGAGGCCCAGAAGCCAAGGAATACGGGCAGCTCTAGCAACTGGAAAAGTACGGAAATAGATTCTTTTGAGCCTCTAGAAAGAAATTCAGTCCTGCAAAAATGACTTCTAATAGAACTATAAAATAATACGTTTATGTTGGTTTAAACCATTACATTTATAATTCTTATGGAAGCAATAGAAAACTAATATTAAACACAAGTTCTCTTTACTTGAGGAGTATATGTGGAGAAATAAAAGAAAATAAGAATAACTTTCCAAAGATGACCCAGAAGAGCTAGGAATAATTTTTTCAAAAAACATGCAAAAGTCATTGTTCCAAAGTGAATCACATACTTTCCAAAACTAGCTCTAGTAAAGAGAAAATTATTCTTAGAATCATCTCTGGAACTGAGTAGGTAGAATTCACTTCACCTGAAGAATGAAGGCTGGATTTAAGGTTCTAATAGGCAAGAGGAAAGAAGACTAGATGCTGAGTAATATCCACAACAGAAATACTGCTAATCCCATAAAAATATATACATGGTTTTCAGATTACTGTAGTAAATAATATTTTGGAAAATAGTGCCCATCTTTTGTTTGGCCAAAAAAAAAAAAAGGAGCAAAGTAGAGACTCTATCAAATACTTCTCTAATGCCTGCCAGAAAGACACATGATAAATTCTTCCTGTTTATTCGACAAATATTTATTGAGATGTTTCTATATGCTGCTATTCCCAGGACATAGCCTTTGCTACATATTCATATCAGAGGCTATCGGTGGCCAGCAAAAATAAATACTGCTCCTACTTCATGAAGCTTATAGTACAGGTAGACATTAATCAAATAATAACACACATTGGCATTGAGTTAAAATGCATTGAAAGAGTATTATCTGATGCCGTGAGACTGAGTTGAAGCTTAAGCTAAGACCAAAAGAAGAGGATGCCTTAACTAAGCAAAGGAGAGAGGAAATAATTTTTTAAGCAGAGAAAATAGTATGTGCAAATCCTTGTGGTGAGCAAGAGCTGAAAGACCTATGTGGCTGAAAACAGACAGAGGAAGGCTGATGACAGAATGAGACCAGAGACTCAGATAGAAGCCAGACTAAGCAGGGCTTCATAGATCATGTTAAAGATTTTGGCCTTGATCTTAAAAGCAGGATGGAGGTGGCATGATTGAATTTGCACTTGGAAAGAACCACTCTGGCTACATTGTGGTATATAGATTATAGGGGAGCTAATGGACTTGTGCAATAGCAGTGTTAGGAAACTATTGGAATAGTCAAGAGATCTTAGTAGATTCTTAGGATTATAGCAGTAGATGGAATAGTGTATACACTTTAAAGAAATGTTTAGAAGGTAAAACAAAGAGGATATGGTGATGACCTCGATGTGGGTCATGAGGAAGAGAAAGAGGGAGGGGGTCAAGAATGCCTTAGAGTTCTGACCTTTGGATCTGGTATATGGATGGTGGTGCCATTCACTAACCTAGGGAGCATCAAGAGAGCCCTCTTCCTCACAAATCAGCCAGATGGTTTAAATTTTATTGTAAATAAGAACTTCTAAAAATAATTGAATTGGATGACCTTTTGATAGCTCATGAGACAATCCAGAAAAAGCAATATGCTGTTACTTGTGGTAGTTTTGTGACACCACATGCATTTCATTGTATCTCATAACTCAAGTCATAATATAGTCCTTTCTTAATACAATTTACCCAATTGCAATACATTTGTAATGAGTTAATTCTACTTAATTATCTCAGCTTGTCAATTTTGTAAACTTAAAAAAAAAACATAGAAACGCACCAATTGACAGAAAGAAGGGAGGGATCAAACTCATCAACTGTAACCATGCAGTTCTTTACCTCAACTTATTTCAAGTATCTCTTATTCCTACAGTGAAGTGCTGGTGCTGGCTCCTACCAGTCCTCAAAGAGCAAGTTGTTAAATGTTCAGGAACTTTGTGAATTGGCTGTTAATAGTTTGAAATTGGCCACAGTGGAAGTACTAACACTACAGAAACTGGAAATCACAACAGAATTGGCAAACACTGTAAAATAGAGCTTCCCCCAACCCCCAACAAAGCCCATTGTTAAACATTTACCAACACACCAGTCTTTGTATCCTTTAGAACTGTGTTATTTGAGAGGATAGCCTAGATACATAAAATACTGGAATGAGATTGACTATAATCTCACTGATTGAAGAATAGTGCTTATTTTCCTTCTCCACATTCTTTTTTTTTTTTTTTTTCTTTTGCCTGCCTGGAAACTGATACCCTTTCCACATTCTTAAATGTCTTCCTTTAGGGTTGTTTGAACCCCCTATCCAGTTCATTGCTGGATATATTTGATGTTTCTACAGAACTTCATTTGTGAAGATATGTTACTTTTAGGCATTAGTCTAGTGATTTTTTTAAACGTTTTTCTTCTTTGTTAGATTGCCCAGATTAAGAAGTATTTCAGTAAGGTGGCAAAGTTTTAGAAATTACTGAATCTGGTTGATAGGTATGTAGGTTTATTATACTATTTTCTCTAGTTTTGTGTGTAAAATTTTTTGTAATTAAAAAAAAGAAGAAGCAGGTGGCGACAGCCACAGCTTTCCCAGACCTGTCCTTACTGGGTCTTCAACTTCCAGTCTCAATCCCACCAGCTGTTCTCAAGATCTGAGATAATGTGAGCATTGCCGTCTCCTCACCTGGCCTGATTTACTAACTCTCTATTTTGATTTAAGTGTTGCAACACCTCCTTCTTCCCCTGAAAAACCCACAAGCATTTGTAGATTTTATTTATTTTACAAAGAATTTAAACCTTCAGACAGTACCTACCATATCCAGATTAGGGTACTTTCTTCGTACTAAAACCACAAAAATACTGAAAAAAAAAAGTCTTAAAAAGCTTCAGTAACAACAAAAAAACCCCAAAGTACAGTGAGTGCATAGATTACAAGAAATTGGGAAGAGTAAAAAAAAAAAAAAAAAAAAAAAAAAAAAAGATTTTTAAGAATTTTAGTAAAAAATGAAGAATAAAAGGGCCAGAACCAGTATCAACATGCTAAACACTGGAGAAACAGAGGGATGAGGGATCAGCAGAATTACATACTAAATCGAGGACTCTTCAAGTTCTACCCTAAAGAAAAGAAAGCTTTAATGTTAGGCAAGAACAAGGTTTTTTTTAAAAAAAATGTAGTATATTGTTATAGATCATATATCACAGTACAAGAAACATAAAATTGACCCAATTGTAATATATCAGTGAAGAAAAAAATAATTTAGAAATCAATTTTTTTAAAAAAAAAGATCCACAAATTATAACTTAAGAGAAAACTATCAGTATCAAAAAAGGATCACATAAATCATTTTATGGATTAGAAAGCTGAAGTTCAGAAAAAGTGAAGTAATTTGGCTAAGGTCATGTCACTCAGCTAGTTTAAGTGTTGCAGCCTGGACGTGAACTCCCTAGATAACTCTACAACATTTTGTTTTTCTGTCTTTTTCTGATATAAGTGAAAATCCAAAAGTAATTTTTAAAATTATATAAAATAAGCCGGGTGCGGTGGCTCATGACTGTAATTCCAACACTTTGGGAGGCCAAGGTCACTGCTTGCCTGGTGCTGATTTCTCTGAGTTCAGAGGAGGGAGCCTGTAGACCTGGGAACCAGGTATCTGAGGACGAAGCACCCAGTAATAGGTGCTGGCATCTCAAGAAAGCACATTGAGATTGGTTCTACAAGTGTTGGAAAACCTCCAAATTGCAATCAGCTGCTACTACTAGCAGGCACTGTTGCTGTCAGAGTGAAGAATTGTTGCTAGAGTGAGACTTAACAGAATTAAGAAACCCATCTGAAGGAAACAGCAAATTCCTTCTTCCTTCTCTACTTGTGAAGTATCACGCTGGTCCCTGTATTGGCAGAGCCTAACAGGGAGACACAAATGCTTGCAGAATTCCAAAGAGTCGGTTTGAAGCCAAGAGACAGTAGCTTACTGTCTTGGCCTTAATTGTAATACGACTGGAAGATAATAGAAATAATACTTTTGGTATGTATAATTGGGTGCATGTAGACATTTTCTGGGATACTACCTACTGGGTAGACATTTGGTCTTATTGTAAAAAAAAAAAAAAAAAAAAAAAAAAAATTTATTAAAACTATTTGTTTCTCCTGATGAAATTAATAAGAGCCACTTAGGGTGTCTGTATAATGAACAGGAAACTATGCAAGGGCCTGCTCTGAAGTCTGCTTAGCTGAGCTTAAGACAAAGATCACAGCAGTAGTGGCTGAGGGTTGCTCTATAGTAACAGCAAACGTGCTTTGGTCAGCTGAGGCTCGGTTTCTTAAAGTCTTAGAGTCAAAGAAACCGTCTAAAAAAGAATCTTACCAGGACAGAGCAATCAGGCCTTGCCTCATAAAACAGGACAGTGGCAGAAAAGGGTGTTCTGAAATCATGGTCACTCACAAGAGAAATACAAACATGGTTCTTCACTTAAGCAGCCATTTTTGTGCAGTTCCAGGATCAAAAAGAACATTCCCATTGTATTAAGTTAACAGGTACTTATAGAATAATTATCACAAGTATGCCCAGCACTTTGGGAGATGAAGAACTAAGGTTCTTAAAGACCTTTACATATTTCTCATGTTATGTTCATGTTTTGTCTTTTTTTTTTTTTTTTTTTTAAGGATGTTGAAGATTCACAAAACCACACTGGTGAGCCTGTTGGAGATGACTACAAGAAAATGGGAACACTTTTTGGTGAACTGAACAAAAACCTTATCAACATGGGCTTCACAAGGATGTATTTTGGAGAACGAATTGTGGAACCAGTAATAGTCATTTTCTTTTGGGTTATGCTGTGGTTCCTTGGCCTGCAAGCCCTTGGACTAGTTTCTGTTCTTTGCCTTGTTATTATTTATGTGCAACAGTAAAACATGGCTGAATGGAATTGTTTGACATTTGGTAGCCATATATGTAATTGAAGAAGTTATACGTTTCATTTTTTGACAACCGAAAAAGTTTGCCTTGTTTCAAATTGTGTGCTGGATGTTTTGTAAGTAAATTTATACATGGATGTTACTTAAAACTAAACTCTTGATCATAACAGGGTTGAATATATATTTTGAATATACATTAGCTTATTCAAAACTCTTGTTTCACTACTATGATCTCTGTCCCCTTTATACACCTCTATCCCCATACCAAATCTTAACTAACACCACCAGAAAGTGAACAGGGAAAATAACAGGACATGGAATTCAAATCAAGCAATCTAGTTCTTACAAAGAGTTCCAATAAAACATTTTAGAAGAAAAAGGATGAAATAAGCTACAAGTAAGTTTCACTTAGAAAACTGCTCCCCACTAACCCTCCCCACCAAATAATCCCATATTATTTGGGAAATATTTGGATTTCAGTTGTCCCTACCCAGCCTAAACTAAGGTAAATGATAATTAGCATACACTACCTTAAGATTGTGATGAGAATCAGTAAAGATAGAATGTTTTCTAAGGGTTGAAAATAATATATTTATTATTGCTGGGGAAAGTTCCCAGGTTAAATATAACTTTTTTAAAATGTAACATTTGGACCTAGACCTACTTTAGTATATCATTTGAAGTTTCAGACAATTTGGTGCTACTTTTTGTGAGTTTTTAAAGTCTCATAGCCTAGTTGACTTCACCCTATGCTAATGCCATATTTTCTTGTGTCTAACAAGTTGCATATTTTTTCCTAGAGAGACATTTTCAGTATATATTTTTTAGAAATTTGTAATTTTATAGTTCTTTCATAACAATTATTCTAAGTTTTAAAACAATGTATTTCCTATCTTGACATGGATTTTTTCACAAAAACAAATTATATTTTACTGTTGTTTTCAAGAAAAAATCAGATCATTTTTCTTTGATATCTATATCAGAAAGTGCAATATTAACAGTATAAAACTAAATGCTTAAATTTGGAACTTAGCCAATTTTGATAATATTTTTCTAAGACTAAAGTCATGTCAGCAATTGGCTAGCCATGTTATTAAGGTGTCTTAATTCAGCATTTTTAGGTTTTATATTGAAATTTGCATTTCTTTAAATATTTGAAAATGGGGAATGGCTTTAGTGATATTTTGGATTTTGTTAGAGAACCTAAAATCTTTACACTTTCATCTCAAAGACTATAAAGGAAAGAGGTAGTTAAGATCATTTAGAATTCAAGTTAAATTTCAGAAAATTGGGGCAGTCAGGCATTTTTATCTTTGGTAGGGCAACAAGTAAAACATGTAGAGTGCTCACTATTCCACTTTTTAAAGCTTTTACCAAATCTTATTTCTAAAACTCTGTGCATTCTCAGTGTCTTCTCATTCTGAAGCAGAAAATAAGGAAGAACATTCAACTTAGATTTCTAAAATCAGATAACCCTAAACAAAAATGTTAGTCGGGGTCACTAAAAAGTATTGTGCATTTATATAAATACAGGCCTTTTGAAATTTGACTTTTAAAAAGCAAAAGACTTTGTACGATATCATTGTGTTTTTATTGCGTTTGCAATATTTTTATAGTAACCTTTATGAACTCAGTATAAGTGCAAGTTGTTTGAAAAGGTGTTTTTATTAGTGCACAGTAGAATTGTGAGGTTTTCAGTAGACGTCATGAGATTTTGTATATCTCCATAAAATATAAGTACATTTTTTTCTAATGCTACTGGAAATTTTACTTTTCCTTTGGAACACATCAACAATACTATGTACAAAATAATAGCTCTGGTTCCACCAGTACCTAATGTTGAAAACATTTTTAAAGTAATTTTTAATAGTAACTATTTAGTATACTATCAATACTATGCATCAGCACACTGGTGTTAATAGGGTATATATTAAATTATATAAAGAAATAAGATATTTTGCTGTTATTCTTTCTACATATATTATTATTGGTTGTTAGTACAGTATACCATCAAATATTTGCCTTTGATATGAGAAAAAACAAACTTTGCCTATGTAATGGAAATAAAATATTTTCTTTTATGAAATAGAATGCAGATTATACTAATATCCTGAAATAAAACTGGTAATTTATTTGGTTCATGGTATAAAGAATTAGATTGGGCCAGGCGCAGTGGCTCACACCTGTAATCCCAGCACTTTGGGAAGCCAAGGTGGGTGGATCACGAGGTCAGGAGATCAAGACCATCCTGGCTAACATGGTGAAACCCCGTCTCTACTAAAAATACAAAAACTTAGCCAGGCGTGCTGGGGGGCGCCTGTAGTCCCAGCTACTCAGGAGGCTGAGGCAGGAGAATGGCGTGAACCCGGGAGGCGGAGCTTGCAGTGAGCCGAGATCGAGCCGCTGCACTCCAGCCTGGGCAACAGAGTAAGAGTCCGTCTCAAAAAAAGAAAAAGGAATTAGATTGAAAATTATTCTCATCACAAATACAAGCCAGTTTTAGAAACTGTTATTGCTTATGAATAAAGAAATAGAAGTTACAATGCTAAGGTTATTATATAATGCATACTCATATGGCCAGCCTGTAATTAAAAAAAAAGATCAAAGTCTACAGATAAACAGACTGTAGATGAGTAAATCCATTTTTCTTAAAGTAAAGACTGTATTTTGTAGAATTCTGTTCTCTTATACCTTAAGTTGTCATGGGCAAGGTATTTTCCCATTCCTGGCTACAGGCAGATCATTCTTAGTCCAGTAGTGTGCTGGAGCGAGCTTGCACCGGCTTACAAGAGCCAACTGTGAACATTTTTTCTGGCTTCAGTGCTGTCTAGTTGGTAGTTTGAAATTGGGCATGGTGGGAGTATTTACACCAAAAAAATTAGTAAACACTACAAATCAGATCTTTTATTTTCCCTTCAAAGCCAGCTGTTAAACATACATGAGCACACCCTAGAGGCCACATTCACATGTCTGTTCCTACAGATATGAAAGTAAGGAACAGAACACATTTTGTGAAATAAAGCATATGAGGTAAATCCCCCACCCAAAACTGCATCTGGATCTTTCCCTTGTGGGTATTATGGTCCATGGTTGTCTTCTGACCAACAAATCTCTGTTTAATCATGTTTTGACCACAGAAAATCTCTCTAGGCTGTTACCAAGCTGCAGATCCACTAAAGACTCTCCAGGCAATCAGGAAAGGTGAAAGTTGCAGATTGATAGAGGAAAAATTACAGTGTAAGTAAAGATCTGTTGTAATATAGAAAGCTCAAAATAGTCAAAGCCAGGTATGGAGCAATCAAAGGCTATTTGTGTGGTTCATAGATGATGTTTTAATAGTTACTTCACAAATGTTTATTAGTTTCAGGCTTTTTCAATGCTCTCATTGCCAATTTATGACTTTACAATTAAAGGGAGAAGAAGCAAAAAATCAAGACGACCGGGGTGGTGGCTCACACCTGTAATTCCAGCACTTTGGGAGGCCGAAGTGGGCAGATCACCTGAGGTCGGGAGTTTGAAACCAGCCTGACCTATATGGAGAAACCCCGTCTTTGCTAAAAAAAAAAAAAATACAAAATTTGCTGGGCGTGGTGGCAGTTGCCTGTAATCCCACCTACTCAGGAGGCTGAGGCAGGAGAATCACTTCAACCCGGCAGCCAGAGTTTGTGATGAGCCGAGATTGTGCCATTGCACTCCAACCTGGGCAACAAGAGCGAAACTCCATCTCAAAAAAAACAAGAAAAAATTAAATAAGATTTTCATGCCTGGTAATAGAGTTGGCCAAAAAGAATATAAACTTATTTACAAACTATGGCTTCAGGAGTATTGGTGGATTTGAGGTCATTTGCAACTCCTGTTTCTCTACCCAACATTTAATTTTTGGTATGCGTTGGGAGTTCAGTCCAACAGCCTGCTCTCACATCACTCCACACAGCAACTTGGCAATGTCACCACTCCCATGGCTGCAGAGTTACCATTTGCACCCTAACAGCTCCCCAATTTGCATCTCTAGATCAGAGCACTGTACAGAATGTAAGACTCATATGTTCAATTGCTTGCCCAATATTTATTTGCACTTGGTTATCCCATAGTACCCGAGATGCAGCATGTCCAAACAAGAGCTCAGATCCTTCTCCCAAATCTTTAATTCCTGCTTCTCATTTCAGCAAATGACACAATCCTTTCCCTAACAGATCAAGCAGGAGTTGTAGGTGACATCCTTGACTCTGTATTTCCTACACTACCTACATGTAACCAATTACCAAGTCTATTTTACTTCTAAAAATTTAATCTTTCTACTTCTCTCCATTCCTAGCATCACTAACTTAGTCCATTCTACCATCATCTCACCTGGCATGCTGAGAATCCTGATTAGCCTCCCTACCTTCATTTTCCACTTTTTAGTTACAGATCTTTCTAAAGCATTATTCTAATATGATTCTGATATCCTTGACCTAAATCTTCAGTGGCTTTCTGTTTTCATTATGATAAAGTCCTTATGCCTTAATATGTTTTACAAGGCTCTTCACGTACTGGTTATTGCATACCTCATCTGTCTATACTGCCACTCTCCATTTCCAAGACTCAACTATACTGAACTTTTCCCCAGTTTCTTTAATGAGACATGCTTTCTTACTTCTAGAACTTTGTACATGCTTTACCTTCTTTAACTGCTCCCCACCAGATTGGCCAACATCCACATAGCCTTAAGATCTCAAGTGAGACATCATGTCCTCCAGGGAAACTTCTCTGACTCCTTTAAATCCAGTTTTGGTTCTTCATTATAGCTTGGTTTCTCATTATGTGCAACCCTGTACTTCCCAGGTCAGCACTTCTCATGCTATATTGCAATAGCTTATTTATCAGCTTCTTCCATTAATCAATAGGCTTCACAAGGAAAGAGAACATGTCTGTCATTGCATTGCTAGTGCCTAACACAATGCCTGGGACATAATAGGCCTTCAAAATATTTATCAAATAAGTAAACCCACTCCATCTACTCATGGTCTCCATATAGACCACTAACAAAAAAGATCTAGAGTTGTTGTACTTTGAAGTTCTTTTACTCCAAAAATATACTTACTGTGCACAAAGAGCATGGATTGATGTATACATAATAATTTGTAAAGTTATTCACTTTTGGTAAAAGAATATTGCTGTTATTTGGAAATATATATACAGTATTTCCACTATACACTCATGTATTTTAGGAGAAAATGTATTTTCAGTGTTGTGTTTTGTTGATTCACTATTTTTCCAAAAAGGATATTTTGCAATACGTATGGTCACTGATACTACCAAAACTTCACATGTGTTCAGTATTTTTTAAAAGAACTTTATTTACTACATTTTAATTTTTTGTTT